GTGCCGAACTGCATGAGCGAGTCCAGCGTGCGCGGGGACATGGGCAGGTCGATGGTGTTGCTGAAGGAGGTGCTGTCCCAGGGAGAAGAAGCACAGAAAGCTCCACATCAAGGCCTGGCCAGAGCTCTCCAACACCCCCTGTACCCGCTGAGGGGCCCCCAGAGCTCTCCAGAGGAAAGGGGCCCCGGAGGGGAAGAACGGGGCTGTGGTTTGGGCAGCAGCCGGAGCCTGGCTCAGCCCCCACCATCACCCCAGGCTGGGAACCCGACAGGAACCAAGCAAAGCTCAGACAGAGGTGGAAAGAAAGGAAGGAAACCTCTCCCTCAAGCAAGGCTGAGCACACAAACACCCCCCAGGCAGTGACAGACAGCTCCCAGGAACACTCACGGGGTGACACAGATGAACTTGGTCTTCAGGTATGGAGCAGCACCTGCAAGGAGGGAGAAGCTTCATCAGCAGCCACTCAAGGACAAATCCTTCTCTCTATCCCCTAGAACAAGCAGTGCCCACCCTCTGCCCCATGGCTGGTCCCACACTGTGGCTGTGCCCTCCAGGGATGGCACAGGGTCCTGGTTCGTGACAGCCAGTGCTGTCCCCAGAGCTTCTCTGTGACAAAGGAGCCACAGAAAGTCAACGACTACCTGAGTCCGTGGCTTCCGAGTGCTCCTGGCTCTCAGAGCGGCAGTACTTCCCAAATGCCTCCTCCTTGGGGATGTCTGGGTACAGGTACACCAGAGGGGACACCAGGATGTTGGTGGCATCCATGATCTTGTAGCCCATGATGATCTCAGCAAAGGACATGTTGTTGAGCTGCTGCTTGGTGTAAGGCTCCACTGACTGGATCTGTGTCTTTCCTGTGCAAGGAAGGAGAATTTTGGTACAGAAAAGGCAGGGCTGCCTTCAGACAGCCCCAGAGCAGCAGGGACAAGATGGGCCTGGGGCACACAGCAGAGCACAGGGCAGGACTGGCACCTGACTGTGTTCAGTGCCTTAGAAAACTGTGTCCATGGGCATAGACACCCAGAAGGCAAAGACCAGCAAAGGGCAGCCAGGCTCAGAAGTTAACCCACACAGACAGTTTGTTGGGACAAGGACAAATGCTTATCAGGGCACCCAAGCCCCCTCTGGAAGCTGGAATGCCAAGCCAGGCACACAGACAGAGCTCATACCACTGATGTCCTTCTCCACCCAGGTGAAGGTGATGCCACCCTCCTTGCTGCTCTCACTGAAGCGCAGCAGGAAGGTCCCTGGGGGCTTGGTGCTCAGGATGGCTCGCTCCCGCTCCTTGCTGATGAAGCCCATGATGTACCTGGGCAGGAGGAGGCAAGAACAACAAATGGGGGTTAGGGCACAGGAGCAGCTCCTCCAGGATGTAAGTCCTGCCAGCTCTGCTCAACAGCACAACTCAGCCTGGCCACTGACATTTTATGGACTCCCAGGTGAGTTTTCACTCTGAAACAGCAAAAAATATCCCAGGACAGCACACCTGGCACGTGGACAAGCACCCCACGCCAACAGGGTGGAACCTGTGGGACCCTCCCAAGGCCCAGCCTAACCTCAGGCTCTGGGCTGGCACTCACCCTTCGTTCCACAGTGCCAGGATGTACTTCTTCACCAAGTCAATGATGTTGTCCAGCCAGACCCAGAAAGAGAAGCCTTTGCCAGCCATGTTCTCCTGGGGAAAAGGCAGAGAGGCTGCTAGCACAGCTTGGAGAAAGGGAACAGCCAAGGGAAGGTGCTCAGGGAAGAGAATAAATTCTACCTTGCAGAACTTGGCCCAGGTGATCTGACAGCCAGAGTAATTCACACCTGGTCCTGGAAGAGAAAAAAAAGAACACAACCATTTAAATAGAGCTAGAGCTGTCCTTCCAAGGACACCCTTTCCAGGATTTGGGAGAATACCAAGCACCTGAAAATGACTCAGGCCAAAAGCCCTCAGGCCAAACACAGGAGCTCACTCTTGGATGACATGTACAGGTGGGGAACCACACCAGGGGACAGAGGGATGGGCAGGACACCCATCAGCCCTCTCTTACCCAGCAGTTTCTCTGCCAGCGTGGTGAGCTGCTCGATGCTGAGCCCGCGCTTGGTGGTGGAGGAGAACTGCCAGCTCAGCACCTCTGCCACCTGGTCCCAGGTGCCAATGGGGGGCTTGGTGAAGAAGTTCACGTTCTGCACAAGAGAACACACAGCCCTGAGTGGGACATGGGACAGAAGCAGGGCCAGGCACTGCCTCAGCCTGGCTCCCCAGCCTCAGTTTCCCTCTCTCACTGTGACACCCCCATCCTGACACCTGCCCTGCTGCCCTACCTTGGGGTTGTTGGTCAGCATGTTGTACCACAGGATGGATGCCCAGGCGTTGGGCATCTGGCAGATGTTGGAGATGACCACCACAGGCAGCGAGTGGGTCTGCAAAGACAGGATGTGACCACACAGGTTGGGACAACTCCCAGGGCTCCATCCAGACCCATGGTGGTGAAGGCAGTGACCCAAGCCTCACCTCCAGGTCGATCTTCAGCCCCTGGTGATACACCTCTGTCTCAAAAGTGATGAGGTGCAGCTCCTCAGTGACTATCAGCGAGGCCTGGGGCAGAAGGGGACACCATGAGCACCACAAGACACCCACCCTGAGCCCAACACACAACCAGCAGACCCAGCACAGCTGCTGGGACTGGCCTGGCAAGCTGCCCATGTGCCAGTTGGTGCTGGTGGACCCCCTGCATCCCCTCCCCGCTCAGCTGCTCCTGTCAATGGCCAGGCCCCCTGACTCACATCACAGTTGGCTCTGCCTCCGTTCCCACAGCGCTGCTCCCTCAGGGTCTGCAGAGAGAGGGACAGGCTGCAGAAGCAGCACCAGGACACCTGGCTGTGCAGGAGCAGCCCAGGAGCCCATGGTACCCACCAGGTGCTTGAACTCTGCTGAGAGGCTGCCATTGTTTGACTCCTCCATGTTCATCACCTTGGTGTTGGTCCCCAGGATGTTAAACTTGCGGGATCTGGGGAGAGGAAAGAATCAGGCTGACAGGACAGGCTTGGAGTGAATGTGTGGTAGGATGTTTGCCAGGAATAAAGCAGCAACTAGAAATACGGACAAAGCAAACAGTGCACTTACCCACGAAGGGCAGCAACGTCCCCAGAGTCCCTAGAAAAGGGGTAGAGACACCAGGTCATGGCAGTGGCCCTCCCACCCTGATGCACACAAGCTGGTGTGTGGTGCCAGCTGCATCCCAGCACAGTCCCATGACCCCACAGGCCTTCCCCCCAACCATGTGGGTGAACCCTCAGGACTCAGCACCACCCTGCACCCTCCCCTTTAACTGGGGGCCACACTGGTCCTCGTTGTGGAGATTGAGCCCAATCCAGAGGCAGCAGGAATCAGTCCCATCCCAGTTACCCCCCCAGGGCCACTGGAAGGGCAGCACAGAACTCACTTGTCAATGCAGACTTTGATTTTCAGCTGATAGTTCAGCTCTGGGAACTTGACCAACAACCTGCAAGAGTCAGCAGACAGAGCATGAAGATGCTGTGCACAGAAAGTGCTCCTGTTCCACAGGGCACCTGGCACAGCCAGCAGCATGGACCAGCTCCCCTGGCAGCCCTGGGCACACCTTCACACAGCCCTGGCACCTGTCCCCAGAGCCAGAGAGGTGTTGGAACTCCCCTGAGCATCCTGAGGAGCTCATTTGGGCTGCTGGCAGCCCATGCCAGGCTCTGAACAAACACCCCAGAGGACAGAGGCTGCCATGGAGGCCCAGAGAAAGGGCAAGGAAGCTTCAGGCAGAGCCTGGGGTCAGAGCATGGCAGGGAACATGGCCCAGGCTGAGCAGCAGCTGGCCAGGGATGTGCTGCTGCTTCCCACCCCCACAACAGGATTTACCAGAACCCAGCAGATCCCCAGCCAGCCCTGCACTGAGTCATATGGGCAGCACTCCAGCCCTCTGGGATCATCCTTCTGGGATCCATCCCTTTCCATCACAGGGGCTGCACCTGCAGCAGCATCTTCAGAGAGCCACCCCAGGCTGCCCTCCCTGCTCAGCTCCCCTCCCTCACCTGCAGGGAGGCACCCACCTGACTTTGGTGGTGAACTGCACACCTGTCTTGATGACCAGGGGCCTGTCAGGGTGCATGGGCATGCAGGGCTGCCTCTCCACCACAAAAGCACTGCAGGAACAGCACAGAGACCACGGTTAGACCTCACTGCCCACCCTCCACACACAGCCATGCAGCTCCTGGCTGCCTTCAGCACCTTTTCATCAGGTTCCTGAACAGCTCCACAATGCGCTCCTCCAGCATGGGCCGGTGCTGGACAATTGGGTCACCCTTGTAGGACACTTTCTGCTGCAGCTCTTCCAACTTCTTGATCTGCTGCCGGGTCTGTAGCTGTGATTCAGCAAGGGAAGTTATCCTAGGAGAGCAGGGAGAACCAGCATTAGCTCTGGCTGCCCAGCCCACGGTGTCCAGCCTGCAGAGCCCTCCTCTTCCCATGCAAGAACAAACTCTCCATGCCAAGCCAGGCAAGAACCGAGTGTGTTTGTGGCTCCAAGCCCAGAGCATTTTTCTAGGCCACATATTACAAACAAAACCTGCATGTGCCCAGGTGACTCCAGGGCTATAAACTTTGCAGCAGCCTCAAAATCCCCCAGGCACAGAGCTGGGGACAGTGGGACACATTCCCAGCACCATCATGGCTCAGTCTAAGCTGCAGGCTACATTCACACATGGAACCATCAGAAATGTCCATTCTGCAAGGACATTTCCAGACAGCAGGTGTCTGAGTGCCACTGCTCTGGGCACTGACACAGTCCCAGGCAGCTCTCACCAGTTCTCAAGCCTGTCCAGGCAGATATTGGGTGGGCCACCAATGCAGGCAATCTGCTGTCTCCTCTTCCAGTCTGCCAGTTCCTCATCTGCCAGCATCTTCTGCACATACTCCATGGCTGAGAGCAGCCCAGCCAGCTCACTCACTATGCCCTGCCAGGAGAGAAAGCAGAACCTGCAGCAAGCTGTGACTTCCCCCACAGACCCACAAGTTTCACATTCACAAGCAAGGAAGAAGTCACCCAGGGCTGTGCTTGCTGCACTGCTCCTGGTTCTGGCCATGCAGGAGCTACCAAATTCTAACCCTGAAGAAGGGAGATCTGCACCTAATTGTACAAATTGCAAACAGGATGGAATTGCTGAGGAACGTGCTTTGAGCTGTTTTATTTTTTAGCATCAGTCTCATTACATGGTTATGACAAAGGGGTGATGCCATCAGCTCACATTCCAGACAGCAGACAAAGAACTTAATGTTACAACTTTAAAAGTTTTTTGACCAATCCCACAAAGCAAAAGCACATTGACAGTAGTTCTATCCAACCACTATAAGCACACGTCCCTTTGGTTAAAACAATGCTTACTTCTTTCAAACACAATACCTGCTTGTAAGCCCAAAACCCTCTGATTTTACAGATTCCCACATGCACCCAGGGGGATCTGGAGGGTCAGTTTGCCCTCTTACCCTGCGCATCTGGTCCAGTGCTGTCAGCATTTGCTCCAGCTGCTGCATCTTCTGCCTGGTCACTGACTGGTTGTTCCCGTTCAGGTCCTGCATGTCTGTGCAGAGGTGAGAAGCTTCAGCCACACTCTTCACACCCCCTCAAGTGCCACAACACTTGCACAGCAAAGTGCAAGCACCCTACAGCCAAGCAGGAATCTGGAACAGCCTCCAAGCAGCTCCTTGACTCTCAGGCACCCACAGAGGCAAATCCCTCCCCACCCCAGTGCTGTGCTTACAGCAAAGCTCAGTTCAGCTCCCTCAAGGGCAGACCAGGTTTATCCAATTGCCATGCAAATGCCCTGAGAATGAGCACATTCCCTCTGGGAGTGGAGGTTGGAACACCTCTCCAGCAAGTTTCCTTGCAGGAACACACTGTGGTTTGCAGATGCTAATGAGGTGTCATTACCTCCTTGGCTTTTCAAAGTCTTGTAGTTAAAATCAAAGTCATCCTGGAGATTCTCCACCACTTTCATCTTCTGCTCCAAATCCTGGAAGCCAAGAAATGTGATTTCACTTACAGCACTCAAGAATTGTGGTGGGGAGAGCTGAAGGTGCCCAGGCACACACATACCTGCACCCTCTTCCTGACATCCTGCAGGTGCTGCTCCAGCATCTGCTGCTTCTCTGTCACCACAGCTGCTGTGGGATGTGTTGCCTGTCCCCCTTGCTGCAGAGGGGACAAGAAGGGCATAAGGACAGGGTTGTAAGCTGGGGGTGCTCCCTTCCAGCCTGAGGAGGTTCTGCAGGGTCCTCAGCTGGCTGCTCACTTCAGCACTGCCTCCAGGGCAGCAGAGGAGAGGAGAGACAGACACACCCAGCCAGAACACCCAGGCTGTGTCCTGGCTGTCAGGAATCAGGATGGCCAGGAGCAGGAGGCCCTGGGATAGCTGACCACTGACCTGGGCTGCAGTAGCAGCTGTCTGGAGGAGCCGGGACTCTTCCCAGAGGCAGCGAGCCACGATGCGGGCGATCTCCATTGGCTTCTCCAGGTATCTGCTCTGTAAAGGGTCAAACAGGGTCAGCAGGCACATCCTGAACCCCTAGGATCTCCACATCAGGGCTGTGGATGGTGAGCTGTGCCAAGGAATTGCTCAGACCCTCACCAGCTCCCCCATTGTCAGAATTCAGCACATCCCTCTGGCTCTCCTGGATTGCCCAAACCCTGCCAGGGGGGCTCAGAGACCCTGGCACAGAGCCCAAGACACCTGTGACTTTGATTATGACCCATGGAAAAAATTACCAACCTTATATGAGAATCTGCAAGCCACAGAAGTCTAAGCAGAATAATAATTAGTTTGTCATGGGGTGAAAAATAGATTATTTGGGGTTTTTAGAATGAGGGTTCAGGAGGCAAGAAGGAGGAATTATAATAATAATAATAATAATAATAATAATAATAATAATAATAATAATAATAATTAGTTTGTCACAGGGTGAGAAACAGATTTTTTGAGGTTTTTAGAATGGGGATTCAGGAGGAATCTGGGCATATCCTGCCTTTCTCCTTCTTCTTCTTGGCCTCCTCCATCTTCTGCTGTGATGTTGGCACCTTTGGATTGGTTTAGAGTAGAAGCTCACTGTCTAACATAGGTGATAGGTATTGGGAAGTTATGGTAACTATTGTACACCTAGTTTTTAGTATTCAAAGATAACAAGAGTTATCTTTTTATACTAAGAGATAGTATAAAAATTTTCTTTATATAAGAAGGCTACAACCTTCTTATACTACAAAGATAGAATTTTACAGATAAGAAAATCTTATACTTTCTCTGGCCTGCTGAGTTCCTTCAGCCTCTGTCTGACCTGCCGAACAGACCTCGGCAGGGCAGAGAAAGAATTTTATAGATCAGAAACAATAAACAACGTTGAGAACAAGAATAGAAGAGTTCTGACTCCTTCTTCAGGGAGTCTGCTGGGCTGGGAAAAGAGACTTGAACACATCTGGGGGTCACTGTGAGCAGCAGCAACCCCGAGACCCCACCATGCTGGCAGCTCACCTGCAGGAACTGCTTGATGCGGCGCAGGTTGTGCTGGTAGAGGACGTTGGACTCCTGCAGGAAGCGGCTGTACTGCTGGTCAATCTCCCCCAGCAGGTTGTGGAACACCAGCGTGGCGTGAGACTCCTTGCTGGCAGCATAGGCCCTGTGCAGGGGAGAGAGAGCTCTGAGTGGCTGGCATGGGGCAAGGGGCAAAGCTGGGGGCTCTGCTCACACCCAGCATCCCCTGTGCAAATTACAGAATCTCTGAATCATTTAGGAAGGAAAAGAACTCTAAGATGGAGTCCTGCTGGTGACTAATCACCATCTGGTCAAGCAGACCAGGCAGACTGTGAACACCAGCACCTGATGTCTGTGAGCACATCCCACATGCTCATGGACAGGATCCTGCCATCAGTGCTCTGTGTCAGCCCCCTTTACAGCAGAGGTCAGTGTTAGCCAGCCTGGATGGGGATATCCCCCTGCTTCTCCTGGCCCAGGGTCTAACACAGTGCACAAAATCCCACTTCATTCCCTTGATGCCACGTGAGCCCCAAAGAGAGACCAGTCCCATCACCAGAGGAGCAAGGATACAGCTCCTCCAGCCCACCTGACCCCCTGCAGGTGGGTGTTACGAGCAAAGTCCCCTCAGAGGCATTTGAAAAGCCCTTACCAGTCCTGGCTTTCAATCCAGGGGGCCAGGAACTGCCGGAGCTCCATGGGGAAGCTGTCGCTGTAGAGCTGGTGGAGCTGCTCCAGGTAGCGCGTGTCGAGCTGCTGCAGCTGGTTCCACTGCGCCATCCTGGCCAGCTCGGGAGACCTGAGGGTGGAAACACAGCTGGTTCACAGCTGGCTCCTGCCTCCCTCCTGCCAGGACCCAGCTGTGACCCTAAAAGGGTTCTAGAACCAGAGACAGCCAGGGCACGGTGCTCCAGGACAGCTGGCAGGGGCAGGCTGGCCACTGGCAACAGGTTGGAATGAGGATTAAATCTGGTCTCAAAAACACCCCTGGCTGGTCCTGCTGGGAGGCAGGGAAGTGGCTGTGGAGCTTACAGTAAGTGTGGAAGGCGGAGACTGCCAGGAAGCTACAGAAACAGGGAAGGAGCAATTTTCAAGTTCACGACTTGTATCAATGGAAATCAAGCTGACACTAACGAGGGGACTCCAGCTGTGCTGGCAAATGAAGGCACAGCTCTGCGTGACACCAGCAGTCACTTCCCTGCAGAAAGTGGTTTGCTTTTCCCAAAGGTCCCTGCGCTGAGTGATGCAGCATCACTACGTGGCCTCCTCCCCCAAGGGGCTCTTTCCTCATTTGTCTGGGTGCGAAGAAAAGAAAGTGGAAATGTCCTCTGTGGGCTGAGACACCAGGAGGGGACAGACATTGGCACTGACATGGGAGTTAAGAGGGTTTTTAGTGCTTCACAGCACTGAAGAGCCCCAAAAGCAGGAGCAGGACATTAACCTTGAACTACAGCCTGCTGGTGCAATCCTCAGAGAAGTCCACATGAACCAAATCCGCTATGAATGGAGCAACAAGTGAACAAAAAAGGAGAGAGCTGTGGCCACAGATTCCTAGAGCCCTGGAGCCAGACCTGGCTGATGTGACAGAGCCTCAGTGATGCTGCAGTCCAAGGGCTGGGCTGTGAGCCCCCATTCCACAAGGGGTTCAGCCCTTTATGGCCAATTCTCACCTGCAGCAGCTCAGAGAATGCTCCATCTGCCCCATGCAGCTGCGGGGGCCACTCCTGCTGCACGAGTGATGCTGCTGCAGGGTGGGAAACCCACCAAAAGCCCAGGGCTGAGTGGGAGCCCACCAGCCGCGCAGGGATTGCCCCGCCTGGGCAGTGAGCTCAGCACCCGCCTCCTATTGCGCCATGCCCGGGGCGGGGGGGCTGCACCAGCCCCTCCGGAAGCAGCCGCGGCTGCTGCCCCAGCGCAGCTCCTGCCACAGCTCTGCTCCCAGCCCTGAGCAGCACAGGGCTGCAGCAGCACGGCACAGGAGGCAGCTGGGCAGCAGTGCCAAGCGGCTCACAGGCAGAGCTGCTGCAGAAACACAACCAGGTGCCACATCCGGACCCGTGGTCCACCTGAAAGGCACAATCTCGGCATTTCAGAGCAGTGCTGAGAGCACCAAAGCTCCCAGGCTGCCACAGGGCAGCAGCACTTGGACGGGACTCAGGCACTTCCCAGTGCCACAAACAGCTGCAGGGCAAGGCAGCTTGCAGCACTGAACTCCAGCTCCTCCTGGCATCCATCCAAGGCACTCTGACATTCCTGGAGGAAAAGGTCCTTAAGACATTCCTTACAGCAGCAGCCACCACTCTCAAGGAAGCTCTGATCCTGGCAGCCCTGGGATCCCACACAGGAGCCTCTGCCTGGTCAGCCCCACTAAAGGGAAGCCACAGTTAAAAATCTGAGGGTTGAACCTTTCTGATTCTGCTGGGCTTGCCCATCTCTGTGGTTTGCCTCTCCTCCATCTCTGGAATGGAGCCAGAGAGCAGCCAGCATGGCCAGGACCGACACAGCATGATGCAAGCTCATGGGTAAACACGCTGTCCAGAGCTCAGAGCAGAGCTGCTAAAAGTAGATCAAGAGCTAAAGTTCATCTTTCTTTATCTTCCTGCAAGGGCAGAGCACAAGAGTCAGGCTCAGCTGCACAGTGTCACCCCTCTGGGACAGTTGTGCACACTCCAACCACCCCACTGAAAATGGGGCTGCCATGGAAGAACCCTGTATCTGCTTTCTGCCTTCCTTTTCATCTCTGGGACACACCTGGGAACAGACTGCACCTGTGCCCCTACAGCAAGCAATGAGCCCTAGGGCAACATGAATGGGGGAGTCACTGCAAAAAGCCTTAGAAGGACCCCAGGACTCCACATCCCCTGCAGTGACAGAGTAGGATGAAGCTCAGTCACTGACAGCACTGCACAGGCCACAGCACCAGGGTGCCATCACAGGGTCATGACAGATGCCACCAACATCACTTCACTGAGTTCTGCAGCAGCAGCAGGCACCTTGCTGCCCCCTCTTCCACAGAACCATCAACAGCCCGAGGGAAAACTGCTCCACACGGCAGCCAGGCGCTCTGGCAGCACTCTGGAAAGGCTGCTAGAAGAACTTGGCACTGCCTCTCTGGAGCAATTTCAAAGCCAGCATTGGAGGTGGAAAACAGCGATGCAGAGATTTGCAACAGGAGGAGGGAGACAGCTCTGGGCAACCTCAGAGCCACAGCATGGGTTGTGATCACCCCACAGGCTGCTGTTCCTCATTGCAGCTCTATAAGGTCCATCCCAGCTGCGAGTGACACTGTCACCATCCAC